CTGCTGGGTAATTAGGAGGAAGTAACTTAAACTCTTTCTATTTTACCTTATAGTGTACTCTGTAAAAATCCAATAATTTTTAAGTATAGGTGGACAAAAATCGTGTACCAGAATAGTATTAAGTATTCTACAGTCCGTTGTGCATTTTCTAAGAGCTAAAGATTTAACTAGTTTCCTAAAATAACACCCAAGCAAATATTTCTTGGGAACTCAAGGAAATAAATTTCAAAGTTCAGAGGCTGGCTGTGCAAATACAGCCAAAATTTCATCATCATTTTCAATCCACCAGTGTCTTTAAGTGTTTCATATAAACTTCAAAATTTGTATTCTACTTTTGGTGCTGTTACAAATGATTTTTTTTGCGAAGATATTCAAAACAGTCGCACAGACGTTTGGAATATAATACAATGTAAATAATCTTGGTACAAAGTTCCTGTTCACTTGTTACTCGAACTTCTGGTGGATTCCCTCTTAATTAGCATTGTTTTACTTCTTTAATTTTGTCAATCCGTGGCATCTACCTGGCGCTAGTATTTCACATTTTGTTTTTCCATCTCCGACGTATCCAGGGTTACAAGCACAGCTGTAAGTCCAAAATGTATTTGTACAGATAGCAGTGTTTGCGAGGCAGTCATGTGTTCCAAGGATACACTCGTCGACATCTATAAAAAAAAAATATCATGGAATCACGTCTTTTGGAAAGTCTTACATAATACTTCTAATGGTAAAGCATAAGGCATTTTGAGAATGTACGTGCTGAAAGTCCGGAAATTCCGAGAGACAGTCTACCCCCTCTTACATGTTAGTCTACCCCATTCGTTCGTCTGAAGGACAAGGAATAAGTGTTCCTGTGTGTTCTTGCGGCAAACAATATTCTCCATCAGAAGTATGTGCGGTGTTAATTACTCTATCCCAGGGGTGCTTCGTTCGAGGGTGGTTTACAAATTTCTGTGTGCTAACTGTAATGCTAGCTTCATTGGCGAAACCAATCGTCATTTTTCCACGCGCGTACGTGAACACTTGTCTTACGACAAAAGCTATCACGTTTTCAAACATCTACAGGCTTCAAATGAATGTCGTAAATCTTGTTCTGCAGAGTCTTTCCCATTTTGAACTCTGCCGCCACATAGGTCCAAGCAAAAATTAAAGAAGCTATAGACATCAATTGAGAGAAGCCTGCTTTAAATCAGCAAATTCATCATGATAATTTGTCCCTTTCATTTTAATTTTTCTACACGTTTTTTTCTGCCTGTTATTTGCCTGTTGTTCGTTGTTTTCAATTCTACGTACAGTTGTAGCTTATTCCTGTTAAGTAACACCCATAAAACTTGTATATTCCAATTCACTGTAGTTATAACTGACAATGACAGAGGTTACTGTCGAAACATGTATTTAAAACTGCCGGAAAAGTGTGGTCCTTTTTTAAAGATTAGTTGCTTTGGTGTCCGGTTTGAAGTTGTTGTATCGTAAAATGATCTTACCAAACAACAACTTCAAGTAGACCGGAATTAGACCAAATTATTTGTGTTTTATTTCTTTGTGACAGGTCAGTTTTAAGGGAAACATCAGTGTGACATTGAATTGCCACACGAACATTGTAACTTCGACTTGTTGCCATGTAGTTATTATACGCAATATTATGTTCCCAAACCGCGAAACGTCTATATCCGATATACTTCTGCATGCATTGTATTAAAATTTACTCGTCGTTAAAAACTGATATATTATTCACACCTTTTACCGTAATGTAATATCTGTCCGAGCTCTTAACGAAATACTGAAGTCCAGCTTCCTTGGTGAAGTTATTTAACTCACAAATGTCTTGCATAATTACGTAATTGAAGCTTTGGCATCTTGGATCGTCGTTGCAGGCATTTAGGCACTCAAGTGACATCGAAGTCTTAATCGTCTTGAAGACATGTCCCCTCAGCATCATACCATAGATGGAATACAAGCTCTCACATTGGCTAGTTGCTACTTCAGAAGACATCTGAGTGAGCAGAACCACTTTCATGATGATGAAAACCTTTAAGCGGACCATTTCTTAACGCTTAAAAATGAAAAAAAAGGTAAATAAAATAAAAGATAAAAACTGGATTATCATCAAGTAAGCCCAGAGCAGGTTTATAAATGTAAGAATTAAAGGGGATCTCCAGTAAATAAACATCCTTTTGATCTTGCCGAAATTAATTACTGGTAACTTTATTCGTGATAATGTTATGGCGGATGTTTAGATAAAGTTATCGCGGGGGAAAACACGCATAGTGAATTTGACAATACCTTTCGATCATTTTTGAACATACTGACTGATGCGATGAACGTACAGGTAACATTATGTTAGCTAAACGGTTTAATTTTTACCAGGATTTTTAATAATCGAAGCCCGAGGCATCATAGTGTGATTCTTCACCTCAACAAATTGCTCAACAAAACTAATTATGTATGCTTGGCAGGTGGAGTCTGCGGTTACATATTAAAAATTCTGTGGCTTAATTATAACAAAAACCGAGACGAAAATAATACCAGTCCACCAAAATCAATCAAAGATCCTGGTTATCAAGAATAGTATAACTACACAATGAAGCATAGAGTTTGAATTAAAACTGAGAAGAAAATAATGTATTTATACATACTGTAGGTACTTCTCACAATTAACAGAAAGTGGAATAACGTAACGTATTCTGCAATCTTCAAGTGAGAAACCTATAGTAACGGTCAATGTTTCATGCAGATGACGATTTTCCCATACGGACAATGATACTTACACCCATGCATTGTGTAGATCTCTCTATCTTATTAGTGAACGACTAAAATTGAGACGGTATCGACACCTTCTCATGTTATAACATAACAAACTCTACTGGTTAGCTTTGAAGCAATCTAACAACCTCTTTTGAACAACGATCCCAAACTGATTCTTGCGCTGTATGCAGCACATTTCTCGTGTTTTAACCTTGCAACATGATCAGCCTTGCAAGAGTGTAATGTAGGTCAGTGGAGGCTCGACTCCTGCTGGGAGAAATTCAATTTTTTTTTATTTTCTACTTATTCATTTATTTTATTATTATTATTTTTTTTGAATAGCCAATGTCACTAGCTAACATCGACCATTCCTTTTAAAGGACCTTAGTTCAGAGTCGTCATTATAGCAACTGAAACTGCTAAAAATCATTAAAAATGCAACCATAGCGTCGCTCCAAGATAAAACGAGACAGTTGTTTCCACTAAAATTTGCTCTTCGCTTTTCAAAATTAACGGATATCGACAGTTAACGAAAGAAAAAAAAAGAATAAGTACATTTGGTCTCGTTTAGTTATCTTTCTTTCTTTTCATAGCACTTGAACAGAATTTAACTTTTGTATATGTAATGGTTGTGTCAGTTAATAATTAAGACATTTAACGGTATTGGGAACTGGCTGATGTGTACCAGAGACGTGTAAAAGTACGTTTCACCATTATACTTAAAGTATTGTACGCACTGTACTGTTTTTGAGTCAAATACACCGAGCTTCACTTACCTACACATTCGATTTTCCTTCAGTTACATACCAGCCAAACTACTATCAATCTCTCCAACGAAACCAAATGACTGATCTCGATAAGGCCTACTGCAATTTAGCTCTGCTCCTTTGTAGTTTGCGTGGAACCGAGATTGTTTACTGAATTTTAATGACTATCGCAAGTCCTGTAACTATAAATAGCAAATACGCTGAAAGATTGATTAAATTAAACCCGTCTTGATTCCTGCGCAAGAGAAACGTTTTGTTTAACCGTAAGAAAATATTAAATAAATGTTCCATGAAGCCGTGTTCAAGTATAAAAATAGAAATATGTCTAATCTCCTAATCTACTTTGCAGCTGACGCAAATACAGTGTTAACTTTATTAGCTGCCGAATTAATATATATTGTGTATTGGAAATAGGTTATTTTCTATCGGAGAAAATTCGTTTTTAGATGAAGAATTGATCAATAACTTTTAAAGACAAAACATTGTCAAAAGGCGTGGGAATGTATTGAGGAGCCTTTCAACCAGGAATTATAAGCAAAGAAAAGCATTGCTCATAAAAACAATGCAGGTCTCAGCTGGCTACAAATAACCGTTAGGTGTTTTATTCAGAAGATTCAGTACTTTGGCGTCGTCTAGTCTTGTCTTTTGTTTAATCTTGTTTTTTTTTTATTATTATTATTATTATTTCTTTAAAAGAAAGATTAATTTAATTTAATTTATTTATACTTATTTAAGTTACATAAATTTCACACAAAAACCCAAAATCCAAAAAAACAAAAACAAAAAAAAAAGAAGCAAATTTCATTAAATAAGAGAAAAGTATGTCGTGCAGGCCAAAGGAGCAAAAGATTTCGAGTTGGCCACTAACTACCACAGTACAATTACTGAGGAGTATAGAGTAGAAGATGTTAAGCCAACTTAACTTAGAAAGAGTATAAATAAGTGTAATATAACAGTAAAGAATGATCATCGCAGTTAATTTTCCAATTTAAGCAATTGGAAAGAAGAAGCCTGAAAAAAATCAGGGCTTCAACGGGATTCGAACCCGTGACC